TGATATTTTTATATAATTTTTATATATCATTAAATGGATAAATGTATTTAAAATATTATAAATTCAAAATGAATGAAAATAGTTTAAATAACACGCAAAATAGTGCAAAAAAATTATTTTTGAATTATTTTTCATATTATTTATTAATTTCTAATCATTTTATAAATAAAAGTTTCCAAATACCCAAATCAATTATAACTTGATAAAATCAAATAAATCAAATACATTTATAATATAAAATATTATGGCCATAAGCATCGCCTTTCACTCCCCTATGGTCACCAAGTCCCCTATGCGCTGGAACCGCTTCTATGAATTGTTCCTGGTATTTTCTCACCTTTTGGTAGTCGTTCTGGAAGAAACCTAAAACTCATTAGGCTTCTACAGATTATTTGATGTAAATAACATTTTCTATAGAGTCACTGCTTATTTTTATCGATCACCTTACTTCTACCTTTTGTCTAAAGCTTGAAATTTTTTTTTGTTAAATTCATAATTTGATCCTTTAACTATTATATAGACTTTTAATTTGATCTTTAAATTAAAAAAATTCTTAATTTGATTTTTACTGTTTATTAATTTGGTTTCAAGTTAATCTTTCCGTATAAAAACAAATGACATATTTTATCATTAACATGACATAAATAATACCAAGGTACCACTAGAAATAGACAATAACCCACCTTTTTTTCCTATTTTCAGCCCCAAACCGAACAAGAAATAATCTTGTTCCCCAAAATCTTATTTAAGTACAAATGTAATTTAGACATAAGAACTAATTATTTAACAAAAAAATTTACAAACTAATAAAAAAAATTAAATTATGTGACTATAACAGATGATTATGTGTTTCTAATCACATTTTACTATTAGCTTTGTAATTCATTTTCAAAACCAATGTTTTTAAAATTAGATTAAACTAAATAATTTGATTGTTAAATTGATATCTTATCATAAATTTAGTATGATTAAATATATAAAACCATTAAAGTAATTAAACCACTCAAAATCAAAATAACCGGTAAAACTAAGAGAACCAATGAACCTTGTGAGTTGTCCCGTTCAATAATTAAACAAAATTTGTTATAAAATGTCAACAAGAGGTTCAACATCACCACCTCAAATGACACTAAATCTTTGACCACCGTGCCTGTGGCACTACAATGGATACAAGTTGTATTAATTACTTTTATTATTAAATTATGAATTTTTTATCCTATGCATTTAGGACAAAAATAAAGCGTAAGAGATATATATTTTTTATAATTAATTTTTATTAAAAATATAAATTTTAATTTTAATTTAATTAATTACTTAAAATTATTCATATATCAATGATATTAAAATATATATTAATTTTAATAATATTTAATATAAATTAATTTAAAAAATATATTTATTATATTTTTAATATATATTTTTAAAATATAAATTATACAAATTCTTAAATTATACGCAAGATGCATGTTAAATGAAAATAAAACTTACACCTCACCACCTCAAATGGCATAAGAGCTTTCATCACCGTGTCGGTGGCACTACAATCGATACAAGTTGCAGTAAATCACTTTTATTATCGAATTATAAACAAGATGTTAAATGAAAACAAAGCTTACACCCTTGCCATTTTTTTGAAAATAGGTGAAACCGTGAATAATGCTTCTCATTCACAATACAGAATTAGGGTTACATATTTATATGTATATACAGCACTACACTACATAAATTACATAAATACCCTCAAATATTATACTGTCATCTGCCCGCAATTTGAGCGGGCTGATGAAGCATGCACAAATTGGATCGTTGAGAGCAGAAGGCAGTGGATGATAAAGCCTTAGTAAGAATATCAGCACATTGTAAAGAAGAGGGGACATGCTGCAAAAGAATGGCACGAGAAGCAACCCGTTCCTGAACAAAATGAATATCAATCTCTATGTGTTTTGTTCGCTGATGCTGTATAGGATTGAGAGCCAAATAGAGAGCGTTGATATTATCACAAAGAACAATAGGAGCAGAAGAAAGAAATACGTGTAACTCAGCCAATAATTGTTGAACCCAAACAACCTCAGCAACGGCATTAGCCATAGCACAATACTCAGCCTCAGCACTAGATCGAGCAACAGTGTTCTGCTTTTTAGAAGACCAAGAGATGAGGGATTTGCCAAAAAAACAAACAGTAGCCTAAAGTAGAGCCTCGACTTTCCAAACAACCAGCCCAATCAGCATCAGTATAAATATGCAAAGAAGGGGAGAATTACTTAAATAACTGGAGACCATAATGAGCAGTACCCTTAAAATACCGAAGTATCTGTTTTACTACCTGAAAATGATTTTGAGTCGGAGCATGCATATACTGGCAAACTTGATGAACCGCAAAAGCAATATCAGGACGAGTAAATGTCAGGTATTGTAAGGCACCCACTATACTACGATACTTAGTGGAATCCAAATAAGGAGGACTATCAGAAGCAGCCAATTTTTGCCTTGGTGACAGAGGAGTAGCAGCAGCATTACAATCAAACATTCCAGTGCGAGCCAACAAATCAAATATATACTTAGTTTGACAGAGAAAAAGACCATCAGGGTTAAAAGAGGCTGTAATACCCAAAAAATAATTAATAACACCCAAATCTGTCATAAAAAATTCCTGCTTCAATGAAGAGATGATCCGATGCAAAAGGGACGGTGTAGAAGCAGTGAGAATAATATCATCAACATACAAGAACAGAATTGCCAGCATACCATTTGAGCGATATAAAAACATAGAGCAATCAGAATAGGCCTGAATAAAACCACAAGAATAAAGAAAAGTAGCAAACCTCTGAAACCATGCACGAGGAGCCTGTTTCAAACCATAAAGAGCTCATTGGAAAAGGCAAACACGATCTGGATACTGCGGATCGACAAATCCAGGTGGTTGAGACATATAAACAGGCTCAGATAAATACCCATTGAGAAAGGCATTCTTGACATCAAGTTGATGAATTGGCCAAGACTTGGAAAGAGCAAGAGTAAGAACTGTTCGGATGGTAATAGGCTTGACCACCGGACTAAAAGTCTCATCATAATCAATCCCAGGCTGCTATGTATACCCTTGCGCTACAAGTCGAGCCTTATAACGCTCAATACTACCATCAGCTCGCTGTTTAATACGATATACCCATTTGGATCCCACAATGTTAGCACTGGATGGAGGAGAGACTAAAACCCAAGTTTGATTGCGCTGTAGAGCCAGAAATTCCTCCTGCATAGCCTGTTGCCACTCTGAAAGATTACAAGCTTGCTTAAAAGTCCTGGGTTCCTGCAAATCAATAGATGTATGAAGCAGAGATGGTAAGATCTTTGGTTTCCTAACATTGGCCTGTGAACGAGTCACCATACTATAAGTGCGCTGAGGAACATTAGCCGAGGAAAAAGAGGTAATTGAAGAAGACGAGGCAGAAGCAGGAGCGAAAACAGAGCAATCAGCAAAACTAGTGCAATCACCAATCGAAGCAGCGGAGAGAGAAATATCAGGCCCAGACCCAGATCCGGCGGAAGCAGGAGGCGCAGCACCGCAGGATGGTGATGGGGAATGCAGATTTGGCAGAAATGGGGACAAGAAGACGGCTGGAGGTGACACAGAGCTAGGAACGATGGAGGCAGAGATCGGCAGGAGGCTGGTGGGTGCGATAGTTATGGGGCTGGTGGGTGTGGTAGTGTGGTGTGAAGTTGGGCCAGGAAAGGGTGGGCTGGGGCAAGTTGGGCCAGTGGAAGGCATGGCTGGGCTAGGTAAATTGGGATAGGTATTAGGCAGAGAGAAGTTGTTGTCTAGTAAATGAATAGGAGTCAAGAAAAATGAGGGAGAATGGGATGGCACGGAGGGTGAGTAGGGAAATTCAGTTTCATTAAAGGTAACGTGTCTAGATAAAATTATTTTTTGGGTTTTTAAGTCAAGACATCAATACCCTTTATGGTGACTAGGATACCCCAAAAGAATGCATAAAGAGGAACGGGGTGCCAATTTGTGGACAGCAGTGGCAGACAAGTTAGGATAACAAGCACAACCAAAAGGTCGTAAATGATCATAGGAGGGCACTGTGCAAAATAAAGCCTCATGAGGTGTTGAAAAATATAGCCTAGAGCAAGGTAAAATATTGATTAAGTGAATAGCTACATAAAGAGCTTTCACCCAAAATTCACTAGGCAAGTTTGCTTGAAAAAGTAAAGATCGAACCATATTTATAATTGTTCGATTCATCCACTCGGCTTTCCCATTTTGTTGGGGAGTCGAGGGACAAGAATATCGAAGATGAATACCATTGTTTTGAAAATGAGTAGTAAAATCTGCATTATCATATTCACAACCATTATCACATTGAAAAGCCTTAATCCTGGCACCAAACTGAGTAGAAACATAAGCAGAAAATCTAAGGAAAGCTTGAAATACTTGAGATTTTGATTGTAAAGGATAAACCCATAAATAGTGACTATAATCATCCAAGAACAAAAGATAATAACGAATACCCGTAAAAGACATTACAGGAGAAATCCAAACATCAAAATGAATTAACTCAAATGGCGCTGAAGTTGTCGAAAAGGAGTCACTAAATGGAAGTCGAGTATGCTTCCCTAGTTGACAAGCATGACAAGAAATTAAATTAGGAACTTTATTGTTGGACAATTAAACCACGACGAACCAATTGAGTAACAGAGTCTGAACTTGGGTGACCAAGACGAAGATGCTAGACATCAGGAGACACAACTATAGTACTAAGGATCGTAGGATGACTTTGAGATGAGCTAGACACGAAATAAAGTCCCTCTGCACTATTGCAATGAAGTAGGACGTTCTTCGAGTGGATATCCTTAACAGAAGAACCAGAAGAGTCAAATTCCACACTACAATTGTTGTCTTTAGTAAACTGACGAACAGAAATTAAATTCTTATGAAGATACGGAGAGACAAGCACATTATTAAGTTTAAAGGAATGACTAGATGATGACAACACGGTATTACCAGAATGAGTGACAGGAAGTAATTGACCATTGCCAACCTGAATAAACTCTGAACCGGAGTAAGGAGAGGAGTGGGAGAGATTACCAAGGGCACTAGAGACATGGGTATTAGCACCAGAGTCAATATACCATTTGCTATCCGGAGCGGTAGGGAATGTTGTGGCTCTGAGCGCTGTCGGAGCAGAAGACAATGAGGCAATATTTGTGCCAATTAGCAGAGTGCAGTCACGAGCCTTATGAGTCAATTGATCACAAAGTTGACAAGCAGTGACATGTGGAGATGCCATGGGCGAATTCGGCAATAACGGTGGTAAACTACTGCCACGGAAATGGGATGAATGATGGCCATAAGATGAGTGCTGCGATGAGGAAGGATTCCCAGCAGTATTGAGAAAAGATGGGGAGCGACGCCCTGGATTAGTGGGTGCTCCAGAATAGAACCCATGATCAAAATTTGAGAAGGAGCCACGAGAACTACGACCGCCTCAACCACCTCGCTTGTTACCACGGCCACCTCAATAGAAGCTTCCACGGCCTCGGTTGATGCCAAAGAAATTAGGTCATGACTGAGTACCAGAATAATATGCCTCAGGAATTGAAGAACCCATACCAGATGAGTGAACCGAGGTCTACAACACCTGTTGTGCACTGGAGTTAACAAAAGGGAAAGCACTGGTAGATTTTTCTCTTTGCAATGTTGATTCTTCAATAAGCAGTAAAGATTGAAGCTCCACAAATGAAGGAAAAAGAGATCTGTGCGGAATAGTTCTCGTAGCAACACTATATTCAGCATCAAGTCCTGCAAGAGCCTGAAATACTATGTCTCTGTCAGTCAAATACTCACCAACACCATACATGTTATCTACTGCCTTTTTGACAGATTGCAAGTATTGTAACATGGACTGGCCAGATTGTTTTTGGAGAGAAACAAACCCTTGCTTTACATACATTTTTCTGGCAGCCAATTGATTTTGATAAGAAGTATGAATGGCATCCCAAGCTTCCTTGGCAGAAAGAGTTTTACCCGGTTGGATAATCATCTGCAATATATCTGTGGAAATAGTGGCATGAATCCAGGATAAAATTTGATAATCAATCTGTACCCAGGCGTCATAATTAGGATGGGAAGGTGGAGGACAAAGATCTGTACCATCAATATGGCCATATACCCCCTTGCTTTTGAAGACAGGAATCATTAACTCTTTCCAAATAATATAATTGTCATGGGTTAAGGTTTCTAGAACAAAAGTTTTAATATTTGAAACTGTGAACACGGGATGAGAAAATAAGGAAGACGGTGAGGCATGCTAAGTCGGTGGAAGGCTTGGAGTGGGTAGAGTACTAAAATGGGGAAAGGACGAAAGAGTGGGTGGAGTAAGTGTGGTGGGTGGGACAACATTAAAAAGAGGAATTGGGGTAGAAGGTTGTGAATCAGACAAAGAAAAGGTTTTTGAATCTGAAGAAGCCATAGCTAGAGGTTGGCAAAGACCTAGAGATCTAGAGAATAAGACGAAAATGAGAAAAGAGACTTGGTGCCGAATTGCGGCTCTGATACCATGAAACCGTGAATAATGCTTCTCATTCACAATACAAAATTAGGGTTACAGATTTATATGTATATACAGCACTACACTACATAAATTACATAAATACCCTCAAATATTATACTGTCAATAGGCAATGTACACCGCTACCATTTTTTTTTTTTTTTGAACAAGTTTGAAATGGGGGTGGGGGATCCAACCCAACCCCAAGGGGTTGGAGGATTTACCTAGGGGGCTAATGCGTTGAAAGGCAGCTGCGTACACCACTACCATTTGAACACATCATTTGAAAAGAAAGCAAAAAAACACTTTTATCATTAGGCCAATATGGTGGCTTACAATGTGGCATACATAAATATAAATATAAATACAAATATATATTAGTTAAATAATTAACTAACATTGAACTAGTTAAACTATCAAAATCAAGAATCAAAGGTTAAAATAGTCTGTCCTCCAATTTGGTTTTAGGGACAATGCCTAAAACACTTGGATAAGAAAACAAAAATAAGTTTAAATAGTTAAAAATAAGGACTAAAAAATAAGTTGACCTTAAAAAAAAATTATTGGTGTCACGAGAGCCAGCCTCCCTAGGCTTGTTAGGGGTCAGAATCCATAACTTTTATTATTATTCCATTTCTGTCGTATGTTATTTTTAGGGGTGGACAAATACCGATTTCGATGAAAATCGATGCTGAAAGGTAACTAACCAACATTTTTTTATGCCTCTTTTTTTCATGACAGAAACCACTAACGGAATCCTTCTATTTTTTCAGTATTGGATACAGATAATTTCGGTATTGGATACCAAAAATTTCGGTATTCATTTTTTTGATTTTGATATTCACCGAATTTGCTGTTGCAGGGTGGAGAAAGGAGAGAGAACATCGGAGAGGATGAAAAAGGAGGAAGAGGGGTTAGAAGCAAATAAGATTATGAATAGAATGGGAGAAAAAAACATGATAATATGATATGTAATCTTTTATAGTTGTTATAAAATTATAAAAATTTGTTGTACATTAAAAAAAAAATTTATATTTAAAAGTTTGAGATTTCAAAAATAAAAAATTATTTATTTTTTTTAACATTGAAAATAAGATTCAAACTTTATATTGTCAAGCTAACATGAAAAGGTAGAAGGTGACCATGGACATTCTCGAAAAGGAAAAGGTTTTAAGGAAGGGGAGATTAAAAATGGTGGAGGCAGCGGTGGAGAACAGATGATTTAGGGTCTTATGCCTTTCCATTTCCTTTTTTTTTTTTTTAACTTGTTTAAAATCTCCTGGGCCTCAAAAATATTTTGGGCCTAAAATTTGGGCCTCAATTCAGTTGATCTTGGAGCCCCCTAATAAGTTTTTGGTTAATATACCTTCAAATCGAATCGGACCCGAAAAGCTTCTCTGTTAATATCAAAACCGAACTGAAAATACCAAATACCGATAGCACCGACCCAAATTCAAAATTTTTATGTCGGTTATCGGTTATCCATTCGGGTAATCACCCGAACGTCCACCCCTAGTTATAAATAAATTTTGTCTTCGTCCTTTCATTAGATTCGTGTTCGTAATATATCTTTTCTTTTGATTATATTCTACTTAATGCTCAATTATTTATTCGTTTGTTCTAAAAATCATTCGTTAAAATTCAATTACTTTTACTCTTTTTTTCTTTTTTTTCTCAGTTTACGATAAACAACTAAGCCATTAAATTAATTCTAAAATGGTTTACTTTAGTGCTTGTCTTCAGGGTGAATATTTAGTACAAGTATACATGTTATTTGTAAATATTTTATTTATTTAGATAAGTATCATATTTAAATTATAAAAAACTTGAGTAAATAATAGGTATAAAAATAATATACCTATAAATATTAAGTCATGTAATAAGTATATAATTAAGCCATAACAATATACCCATAAATGTTACTTGTAGTTATATAATTAAAATTTTACTTGTACTTATTATACTTTATATCTATATAATAATAAATTTTTAAATTAAAATTAATAAAATACAAAAAAAAAAAAAAACTTTAAGCCAAAGAAATCACATATGTAGTAATAGCGTTTCATATGAATAATACAATGTAAGCTAAAAAAATTACACACATAACAATGGTAATTTGTACAAAATCTCTTTTTTATTTTTTTTCCTAAACTAACTATATAAGTATATACTTGTAAGTTACTTAATACCTATCAAGTTAAATATAAAGTATAGATTTTTAAATATTCGAATAAATATCAAGTCTAAAAAATTGTATTTAAAACATTTCAAATGAAGTACATAACAAGTATAGCTCTCACTTGTTCTCAAAAATGCTCAACCCTACTTGTCCTTTCTCTTTGGGCCGCTGCAATCTCTACCAAGCATAGCCCTCATCACCTCACCGAGTTGAGGATAAAACCCTGCCAAACCATCAGGAACCGAGGAAAGAGATCCAAACTCTACTACCATAAGGTTAGGGGGTGGCTGCTTGGCTGTTCTGTTCCGGCCAGAGATTGATCCAGGACAGTACCCAGTCAAACCTGCCATGGGACTGGTCAAAGGGTCGAAGGGAGTGACCTCTGGGCTTGTGGCCACAGCACCATAGTCATCAAGGAAGCACTGCTCATGTGGTAGCAAATCCAAACATGTGGAGTAGGCTCAGTCCAATCCAAAGTTTCAAACCCATGAAACTGGCCCAGTCAAAGACAGGCCAACCAAAATTCAACACTTTATACTTGAATTTTATACGTGCTGAAATATTCCCCCTCTCTCTTTTTTCTTAATCCAAAGATGCCCCTCACTGTTATGCAATGCATAGTTTTTGAGGTATTTGATGCAAATGATGTCTAACAACAATAATATTGCCAAAACATAATACAAAACTTGGCTCTGCATCATTAAGTCTACAATCAACTCCATCAAGTGAACTTTGGAGATATCAAAAAAAAAAAAAATTCACATAATAACGTTGATCATATTAAGTCATTTTATGATTAGTAAAGGATTGTTACTTAATAGAAATGCAGAGAATGA